TTTTAGACAGAATCTTGCTAAGTTGTCCAGGATGGCTTCAAACTTGTGATCCTCTTGCCTCAGCCTTCAAAGTGTATGCCACTGTGCCTGACTGATATTTAGAGGTTTAGGTGATTAAAACCTTAGGAAGGGGAAGATTTTTAAACAAAGTATATTGGACATTGAATACATTGAAACTTCACATATTTGATATTAGGTATATTTGATATTAGGTACATTGTAAAAGGAAAAAAAAAGAATTTGGAAAGCATATTTGCCACTCATAACTGTCAAGTATCATTTATATATTAAGTATAATGTATGAAGTGTGTATATGTACATATTATATATAAAACTAAGAAAAGGTCCCTCCCTCCAAAAGAAATGAGAAGAAATAAGATACAGTGAATGGTGTGTATGGTGAAGAGTTAATGAAATCAGAGAACTTCTTCATTTAAAGAAAAGGGAAAGTTTTCTAAGGAATATTTGTGTGCATTTTAGCAAGAAATCATAGTGAATTACACCTGGCCAAAAAATGTTCCTGAAACTGGATGCTTAGGAAAGGAGAAAGACTCAGGGATAAAAGGGATTGTTGCAAGCAACAGTTTTGCCTAAGATGATCATTTAAGGAAAAGCAAATATTCATACTTAGGAATAGATGTCCTATGTGTCAAAAGAGATTAGAATTTGAACATTTAAAAACAGCTGTCTGCAGACATAATGGTGCACGCCTTTAATTCCAGATACTGGGGAGGCTGGGCCAGGAGGATTATAAATTTGAGGCCAGCCTGAACAATTATCCTTTCTTAAAATAAGAAAGGGCTGGGGATGTCACTCAGGTGTAGCACATTTGCCTTAGCATGCATGAGGTCCTGGGTTCAATCCTCAGCACAGGCAAAAGAAGGGAAAAATTTTATAATGTGCTTTTCTCATGATTGTTGTAAGGATTCAGTAAAAGATAGCACTTAAAGAGCTAGAAAYAGTAAATGGCACAGAAAACCAGCTCAGTAAATATGAGCAATTATTGTTATTGAAAGTTCAGCAGATACGGCTATCAAGACAGTAGAAACTTCACAGTATTTACAAACATTGGAGGAGGTAGGGGAAACTCCTCATTTCAGGACTTTTCACTAGTGTAGGAATGGACTTGTGTAGGGACGGAAAAATCTTCATCAGAAGCACCTTCCAGCAATTCTACCACCATCACTCCTTCAAGATGAAGTGGGGGAAAATTCCATGCAGCTTCATCATCTGAAGTGTAATTGTGGATATTTTATGGACAAAGAAGGAGGCAACTTAAGAATGGGCTTGGGTGTTATTTCCCCAGGTCCTTCTGTACCGAGCGAGACCCAGCTTGTTGATGCTCATTACTGGTGGAAACCTCTCATGCTTTCTAGGCCAAGACATTTGGAACATTTTGCAGGAAGAAGGAAAACAGTTGCTTAGTCATCTTCCAAGGGGATGTATGTAGCAAGGTCCCTTGAGGTTCTTTCCAGCTGTCCCTTGGGAACAATTATTGTTTGTGTTGTTTTGAACCTTATACCTCAGTGACTGGCAGGGCCAGCATAAATGATATTTGGCCAATATGAAGGAGAAATGTATTTAGAAATGAGCTCACCTAGAGCCTTCACAGCAGGGCTGTGGAGGGGCATCTGATTCAAAGGCAAAGGGGCCTCCCATTCCAGGGAAGATTGGCATGGCCCATTCATGAGAAATGCTGGAAACAGGAAGCTTTTCTGTTGCTCTCATCACAAAGTGATGATGACATGGTGGCTAGAAAGAAGCAAGATGGAATGTATGTACTGACAGGCAGGCAGGCCCAGGAATGGGCCTCACGCTTTCAAATTTGTAGCAAACAATAACCCTAGACTACACAAGGAAGCAAAGAGATGCCGACTGTCTTGACATTCTGAATCAACTACCAATCTTGCATTCCCTTGAAACCAGGGGGAAAGGGAGACATTGTGAAAATTAACCCAGTATTCCTATTTTAGATGATAACTGAACCCTGAGATATACAGCTCAGCTCCCACACAGGGTGATGATGGTTACTGTCTGTGAATGCCAGTCATTACTCTGAGAATTTTCTATGTAACATTTTATGTGATTCTCAGACAACTCAGGTAGATATTATTAACTCCATTGTACAGATGAGAAAGATGAAAGAAAAAGGGGTTATATAACCTCCCCAAGGCCACCTCAAGGGTTCACAGTGGAGCAAGAATTTCTCTCCATGGGGCAGTGTGATGTGAGCACAAAGCTTCCTTTCTTACCACCCCCGGCCCCATGCGTCTGGCATCATTTCCATATTGAGCCATAACCAAGGGTGTATAAGGTCAATTCAGCAGGAAGTTTAGAAAGGTGACACACACTGACCATGCGCATGTGTCTACTCTCATCTGTCTCTGGTCCCCAGTCTCCTTCCCTGAAGTTCCCAAACTCCACATTAGCCCTTCAAACCACAGTGGCAGCCATCATTATTACTGCAATTCGAATTAGTGCACAACACAATGCAGATCATTAAGTATTTGTTGAAAGTAACCCAGACTCTGGGAAATATTTTAAGATGATGTTGCCAGGAAGAAAACAGAAGAGACAAAATGAGGAGAGATCTGAGTCTGTTTTGTGTTGTTTTGCTTTCACACAAAGGAAGACACACTATTGGGGATATTGTTATGAGAAAGATAAATATTGGGAAATTGGAAAACTGGTGTTTTTGGTATTGGAATAAGCTGGACATGGTTCTTGATTCCATGTGATGTGATGAAAGAAAGAGTCCTGCCCAGGAGCCTAACTCTGGATTCAAGAAAAGGGTTTGCCATTGTGAGCCATAATCCTTGACCAATTATTTATTCATTCATTCAACAAAAATCACTGAACATCAGCTATGGGYCTGTGTTGCTCTAAATGCTGCAGATGCATTGGTAAATAATACCAAACCCAATCACTACCCTCAAGGAAATGTGCAGTGTAGGGTGGGACCAGCAGGCTTTTCCTGCAAAGGGATAGCTAATCAATATTTAAGGTTCTGCAGGTCAGATGGTCTCTGTCGTAAATAACTCTACTGATACAGTGCAAAGGTGGCTGTACATAATACAGAAATACAGGGTATGGCTGTGTTCCAGTAGCTATTAACTTTAAAAAAAAAAGTAAAGAGGTAGTAGAGCCAACTTGGCAGGCAAGTTGTAGTTTGCCAATCCCTGGTCTACAAGAAAAAACCARATTCAATTCAATATTTATGTCTATGATACCATATGCAAAGTCCCTGTGGCAAGAAGACACATCAAGTCTTAGAAGGACTGATSGCGGGAATGAACGGGGTGTCATGTGACTGAAGCTGGAAAAGGAGGGAGGGACAGACCAGCAGGATCTTCTAGAACATTCAGATCTTTGGTCTTTACTGTCCTAATAGTTTATACCATCTTGGATTATTTTAAGAAGGAAGATAACAGCATTAGATATAAGTTTTAAAAGATGTCTCACTGTATTGTGTTGCATGAATTGGATTAAGTTTCCTTTTTTAAAACGTAAGGATGGATATACTTGCCTTGTGTATCARGCATTTCATGATAGTGACCAATTCCACAAGGTACACAGAAACATTTCATGAAACACAGATGACACAGAGAATTACACAGTTATATCTTATAGGAAACACGAGACCACCAGGAGTTCATATTCTTTTGGATTTCCTCTATGAACAAAGACACTGTGAACTCATGAGATAAGTCTTTTGTTTATGTTACTGGGCTTCCTTCACCAGGGTAACTAGTCCTCAGGGTGCTCACTCAAGAGCAGGAACTTCCCTGGCTCTCTCTCACTCTTTCTGTTCTGCCTTCTCGCAAGCACATCTGACGTGCTGCCCACAGTCCAGGCCTGGCTCTACACCCATGAAAAGTTGCCAAGTATAAAAGCTTCCCAAGCATGAGATGGATGCTGGGATGTCTTCACCTGAGAAGCAGGATAAAGACAATTTAGTGGGTATGTTCCTCTCTCCTGTTTTAAGCATGTTAATGTTACAGAGCTGAAGCAAAGCAAGAATTATAGCTTAGAGTTACAGAGTAAGCATGGGGTATAGGCATTGAAATTGGCTCCAATTCCATTTAGAGCCCATGATTTTGGATTCCTTGCTTATGTTGGTTCTATTTGCTTCTTGAGTGACCGTCTATAATTTGCTCCTTCTCTTCATTTTGAGATGGAATTGATGTTTATATTTGCATTCCTTTTTTCACATTAAATAGCAAAGATATATTAAAAATGTATTCAAATACATCTGGCAATGCTATGATTAAAAAAAAAAGATGGTTTGAGTTTCATCATGTTTGATAAATGCAGAGAAGCTGTGGAAAATGAAACCAGCCCTTAAGTACCAACTGCTACCTTACATACTATTAAATATTAGAGAATAGTTTGCTTACGTTATGTTTTCAAATCTTATAGTACTTCTGAAGTAGATCCTCTTGTAATCTGACTTTACAAATGAGAAGACTGAGTCTTAGAGGGTTTAAAAACTTGAAGGTCCAGCCAGGCACAGTGGCGCACACCTATAATCCCAGAGGCTTGGGAGGCTGAGGCAGGAGGACCACAAGTTCAAAACCAGCCTCAGCAAAAGCAAGGTGCTAAGGCAACTCAGTGAGACCCTGTCTCTAAATAAAATACAAAATAGGGCTGGGCATGTGGCTCTGTGGTCGAGTGTCCCTGAGTTCAATCCGTGGTACCAAAAACCTCAGAAAATCCTTGAAGGTCCGGAAAACCATGATGATGGTGTTGATGGTATGCATATGTGCATATGTATCTAATGCACACTTTATACCTTATGTGACCAAAAAGTCGTAGTCTAAGTTGGAAATTGAGAACACATTTATTATTATTAATTTATAAAAGAAAAAGTGTACTTTAAAGTCATTTACTTACACTGTTGAAGTAAGCATAGCTACACTGATATGCTGCAGGCAGCAGATACCACCTGGAAATGGTAGTGGAGGTGGAGGTCTCTTCCAGGATACCCTTTGTCATCTTTTTAAACAAGATGTTCCTTGAGACAGTAAAGATTCCGTTCTAACAGGTTAAGACAGTGGCTGGGAAGGTGGCAGGATTGAAGTTGCATCACCAGTGAGATATTTGAAAGCATTCATAAGTTTTCTTGGTTTTGATCTTTTATTGTAACGGAAAATTTGCACTATGGCAGAAAAAACAGGACTAGAACTTCTAGTTTACAGTTTACAGTTTCCTGTGGCTTTGGATCATTTTGACTATTCTTTGAGGTTTGTGGAGTAAGTTTGCCCTCACTTTCCTCCAAGTAGGATGCACTAGACAGTCCTCTACGTAGTACAGGAATTCCTACTTGAAGGTGATGAGGGAATTAAATGAGAACTGAGTCCTTGCCATCRCCCCCAGCAGTGGTCTTACCAGTAGTTTGCTGCTGGCATGTGCCAGCTTTAAAAACGACCCATGCCAGGTGTACTGCACATGCCTGTAATACCAGCAGCTTGGGAGGCTGAGGCAGAAGGATCTCAAGTTCAAAGCCAGCCTCAGCAAAAGTGAGGTGCTAAGCAACTCAGTGAGACMCTGTCTCTAAGTAAAAAATATAAAATAGGCCTGGGGAGGTGCAGTTGTCAAGTGCCCTTGAGTTCAATCCCCAGTACCCCCTACTAAAAACAAAAAAAACAAAAAACACTCATGCACATCTCTAACTTCAAGTTCATGATGTCACAAGGATGCATTAGAATCAACTGGTGCTTGGGGGCKGAGGGGTGAAGGTGTTATTCACATGATTAGAAGTGCCTACAAATGAGGGCTGCCCCCTCCCAGTAACCATGTTGTTAAACACTTCCTAGCACACTGCCACTCACTAGTTTTTGACACTCCTGCCCCCTTTTTTTCAAAGTGAAATTAATTGGAATCTAGAATACCCAAGTCTTAAATATTCTTCTTAACATTAATATGCAAAAAAAAAAACTTTCTGGGGAGCTTGTCTAAATGCAAACTGGTCCCTCCCTCCTAAAAATTCTAGTACTCTAGGTCCAGCTGGGTTTGAGATCCTGCAACTAAACCAGCTCCAGAGAAGTTGCCAGAGCCTATGYTTTCTGACCACTGTATTTCTTTTAAGCAATTTTGAACTTTCCTGAAAAATGTTCTTTTTGAAATAGGTTCATACCTATTTCAGAGAAAAACACAAGAGGGAAAATGAATTTCAGATGATGAAAAGAAAGTGTTTACCCCTAGGGTTTTACTTAGATTTTATGTTTGATGCTCAAAACCCTTGATTCTCAGCAGAAAGAACCAGAAAGCTGCTGAATTCTGTTGCCAGTTTAATCTTCACAGGATTGAAGGTGAATAGAGAGAATTGTTAATACACCTTSCCAAACCCAGGGAAGGTGATTGTTTCACTCCAAACACTTTTTATTTTTCTCCAGGAAATAATCTGATCTTCTCTTTTCTGCAAACAAAAAAAMCTTTTTTTTTCACTTGACATGCTTTTTATTTTGAATTTACTTTTAAAAATTATATTAAAGGACTAGAGTTGTGGCTCAGCRGTAGAACACTCACGTGTGGGGCCCTGGGTTCGATCCTCAGCACCACATAAAAACAAATAAACAAAATAAAGGTATTGTGTACAACTAAAAAATAAATATTAAAAAATTATATTAAAACCCAGAAAATTCAGAATTTTAAGCCTATCAAAAATTAAGAAAATTAAAAAAAAAGAAAGAATTTCCACCATTCAAAAAAACCACGATTCATATTTTGGTTAATTTTTTTCTAAAATTCTTTCTATGCATGCAGGTATTGCTATAATTGGGATCTTACTGGCCATAAAATCTTACTACATAAAATTCTACTACATGTTTCTCTTAACATTTTACCATAATGATTTCCCCATGTTTCTTTTTTAAAATTTTAAAGCAATTATGCATAACATGAAACACTGTGTGTGTGTGTGTGTGTGTGTGTATGTGTGTGTGTCAGGGGTCACTTAATTATCCCGCCATTGTTGTGCTCTCCAGGTGTTTTCGACTTTACTGCCGGTAGAAATGACACCATCATGAGCATATTTAAGCTTAAATCTTAAGGACAAAGTGCTTGTACTTGTTGTTAGCAGTGCTGTTATTTTAGAGAGGATTGGAAATGTGGGGAGCATGGGGACAGTAGAGAATGATGCAAGGAAAACATTTTCTCTTTATTTTCTTCTCATAATGATGTGGGGGTGCGGGGACAGAGAGGGAGAAAGCACGACAGAGAAAATGCGAGGGCATAAGGTTCTCAGCTTAATTGACTCTCTTGGGAGAAAACAGAATCTCGTCTGATGGATCATTATTTCCAGACAAGAGCAGTTCCAACTCTGTTATGTTACTGAGCATTATTCTGAGACTTCAAAGTGGGTACCCGGGCACCGTTCACTTCACTTGTATGGCATCTACTGTGGGTCAGGAGGGGAAGACATAARAATAAAACACCTACCTTCAATGCACTAAAAATGTATAGGGAAGACACASGAGTTAACGAGAAAAATGACAATGAAATAGGAAAAGGGATGACAGAGGTAGGCTCAGAAATTAAAAGAGGGGCATCCAAAGGTGGGGATGAGAGTCACCTTCCTAGGAAAGAAAGTGATGTAAGTTGAGCCCTGAGGCTAGGTGACATAGGGGAGGATGTGGGATGCAAGAGGGGGGGCTGGGGACCCAAAGGCAAAAGGATAAATATATGCGAAAACCTGAATGTCCTTCTCTAGTCATGTTAGCATGTTAGCTGGGTCACTAGACCCATAATGGAGACCACTGTGATCCCTGCCACCTGAGAATCTGAATGCTTGCTGTGCTAAGAGCCTGTGTGTCAAGCCTGTTTCTAAATGGTAGCCTTGGGGTTGTAGCTGCATTGGGCTGGAAAGAATGGAAATCATAAAAAGGGAGMTGTGGGGCATGACTGGGAGACGGGTGCTGGGGACCAGGCTATAYGAGGGGGCTTGCACTTTGTGGGCAATGCTTAAATTCTTAAGCTGGGTGGTGGGTATAAGGCATTAACTGCATTATTTTTGCAATTTTTTGAATGTTCTATTTCAAAATATATCCTAAGTATTTCTTTATAAAGAAACCAAATGGTGAAAGGAAATCACAGTGGATGATATGTTTTAATCCACTGTGAAACCGTATGTTTCAACTGCTAAGCACAGATTCTGGAACTGAAATGTACATCTTTTAGAAGACTCTCAGGATAACATCATATTGTGCTCTCACAGGGCTAGCCTGGATGATAAGATCACCATCCACCTCTGATTTAGTAGTTCTGAACCAAAGACTTGGTTTTCCTGCATTTTTTCTTTCTTTTCTGTTGCACATACATTGGTGGATTTCGATAAAGCAGACGATTGGGTGTGGTCAGAGCTTTGGTATTTTCTTCCATCATCCTCTCAGCCTCTAGGGAGGGCTCTAGCAGGAGCCTTGCTAGGTTGACCTGAAGGYAGTAGGGCAGTTTCTGAAGGTCTTCCACAGCTAGCAAAAGCATTTCATTTCATACAGAATTATAATCCTCAAATCCAGTTCTCAGTATAACTTCCTGGTGGGAATGGATGTAGGGGGTGAAAAGGTTACCTGAAAGATTTGTTCCCTTGGAAGCTACAAAGATAGTACCTTGGGGTCTCCCCCAGGGCTGTGAAAGCTCCTTAGGCTGAGCTGGGAGGCTGCAGGGTGGTGCACAAAGGCTCAAAGCCCCACTTTAGCACAGCTGATAATACCTGGAGGCCCCTCCAGTTCTCCCAGCAGCAGAGGCACTGATAATTCTAATGCTCAGCTGTAAATCTTAGAAAATTAATCACATTGTCCTCTCCTTTCTCTCTCAGCATGCTTCTTACCTAAGGAAGTCCAGCCTCCCGTGGACATGTAATGATGGGAGGGCTTGCTGGGACTCCGGGGAGCCCTATAGTTTTCTCTGTGATAAATTCTTATGCAGCTTGGTATTGAGGTTGAGGCTCTTTGGAAAATGTCCAGAATTTAGCTCAGGGCATCAAGTATCCTTTCTGAAATCTCAGCTACACAGTGAGACCGAGCTGTGCTGGTAACATCAGACCCCAGAATCACCCAAGGTGTCTGAATACCAAATACCACAGTGTCAGCAGGGAGGAAAGGCACCAAGGATGGCAGAACTATGTGCCTTCTCAGCACTTTTATCAAGATTCCATGGAAATGCCTATTGACCTTCAAGGCAGGTACAAGCACAGTTATTGCGGCTTTGTTTGTAAAGGCGAAAACTGCAAGTAAACTGAATGTCAATCGACAGGAGAATGGCTAATAAGCCAAAACACAGATTTAAGATGGGAGAGTATGGCTAAGGTAGATGAGTATGTAATGATTTGGAAAGATATAAAAGTTGATTAGGGTTTTTGTTTGTTTTTTTTTTTTTTTTTTACAGAAGACGATTTTGTTTATTTATTTATTTATTTATTTTTGCATTACAATTTTAAATACACATATATACCACAATTTTTCRTATCTCTGTTTGTATATAAGGTATGTTGACACCCAATTCAAGTCTTCATACATGTACTTTGGATAATGATGTCCATCACAGTCCACCATCCTTGCTAATCCCCTGCCTCCTCTCTTCCCCTCCCACCCCTCTGCCCTATCTAGAATTCATCAATTCCTCCCAGGCTCTCCCTCCCTCCTCCACTATGAGTCATCCTTCTTATATCAGGGAAAACATTTGACATTTGTTTTTTGGGGACTGGCTAACTTCACTTAGCATTATCTTCTCCAGTACCATCCATTTACCTGCAAATGCCACGATTTTGTTCTTTTTTAATGCTGAGTAAAATTCCATTGTGTATATGTGCCACATTTTTTTATCCATTCATCCACTGAAGGCATCTAGGTTGGCTCCACAGTTTAGCTATTGTGAATTTTGCTGCTATAAACATTGATGTGGCTGTGTCCCTGCAGTATGCTGTTTTTAAGTCCTTTGGGTATAGAATGAGGAGAGGAATAGCTGGGTCAAATGGTGGTTCCATTCCCAGATTTCCAAGGAATTTTCCATATTGCTTCCAAATTGGCTGCACCAATTTGCTTGGGTACTGTGTGGTACATTTATCAAAATAAATAAATAAATAAATAAATATATAAATCTGGAAATCAAGCCAAATATTTTCTAAATGTAAATATATAGTGTGCAAATATATAGTGATTGGTCCTTAAAGACATACACCAAATTGATGATAACTACGGAATTTCTCTAGATGAAAGCAGAATTGAGAAGGGGGAAGTAGGGAAGTCTTTAGTTTTATATCTTTAGATTTTTTTTTTCAATGAGAAGATATGGGCTATGTTACAAAAGGTAAAAAATGTGCTAATCCATATAATACAACAAAGTTGTTTTTTTTTTGAGAATGCACAAAGTATCTTTTTTATCCCACATCATAATAGTCTAAAAAAGAACCCTATAAAAGAATATTTTTACTCAAAAGTTTTTAGTACTGAAATAATGTATCTAGAACTTAGATACTTTTCACCTATGAGAATACAACAATTGAGAAACTCAAAGTTATCTTATAAGAATAAGATGAACACTGTTAGTGCAGATACAGGTGGGTACAGACTTTTTGAAGGACATTTACCATGGATCAAAATCATAAATACTAGTTCATTTGGCCTAACACATCCACTGCTAGATATTTATCCTACACAGGGCACAAAACAAAAACAAACAAACAAAAACAAACAACAAAAACAACAGATGTTTAAAGACATTCATCATAGCACTGTTTGCAAGAGCAAAAGCCTAGGACTCTTCTAAGGATTAACAAATATGGCTCAGGTCCCACTGAATCAATAGCAGTRAAATGGCTAAGTAGGGATGCTTTTGAGGAGACATCATTTAGGCTCAGAGACTTTGGTGTCCAATAGGGAAGAGGAAATGATGCCCTGAGTCTGTAACCTGGGCAATCAGGTGGGTTGTTAAAGCTTTTACTGAGATGGAGATAACATGGTATTTAAGGAATTTCCTGGGTGGAGACAACTAATCAATACGATTGTTCTCTAGTCGGTGGGGAGAATATGCCTCAGTGGGGAGAGATGTGGGGATGAGAATGGGGATGGTTGTCAAGGAGAATGGGGAAGTGAGGATTGAAAGGGAGAAACTTTGCTGGGTGCAGTGATGCAGGCCTGTAATCCCAGCGGTTTGGGAGG